ATTACAAAACAAATAAATTAATATTTAATTATTGACTTTAGTTTTAGAGCCGACAACAAAACCAGCGACAACTCCGGACTCGAGTTTATGTTTGTCAACCACTACTTTCTGTCTGTCTGTCTGTCCCACATAGGTCAGTGGTTCGAATCCAGGCTCTGCTACAAAAATTTTTTTTGATTTTTTAAAATTTTTTCTTTTTTAAGTTAAGGAGTTCGTATGGAAATGCTTTTGAAGCATTCTCAATTGGTTTAATTTTATTTAGCTTTTTCACAATATTTTGTGATTTTCTATGAATAGTCTCTTATACAGTATATGAGTAAATATTGATCGGCATTTGAGATCACATTCTATAATATATTAGGTTTTAATTTTTATATTAACCGCTCTGTTATCCAAAACAGCATAATTTAGATTATCGACACCAATGATTCAAATGTATAAAAATTAATTTATTATTAATAAATAAAATTAATCTTAAGTTTTTAATTTTTAACTTCTGATCTTTTTATTTAAAATTTATTTAAATAAAGTATATATAAATTTATAAATTAACACTTTTATGATTTTAAATAATTTTGAAATTCGATTACTTTATTAATAACTTAAGATTAGTTTCATTGATTATTAATCGATTAATGATGAATATATTTATTTATACCAATAAATGATACAGTATTATAATTTTTTAGTAAACTTTATTTATTTAAATTATTAATTATTTTTTTAATAAATTATTCTAACAGTGATAATACAATTAAAAGTTTAAATTATATTTTTAAAAATTAATAATTTATTTTGGTTTTGGCGCCGACAACAAAACCACCAATAAGTCCGGACTCGACTTTTCCAACTTTATCGACAACTACTTGTGCACCGGTAGCTGAGCCGTGAGCTATCAATACACCTGTTTCGTCATCACTTAAATGTTTATGTGTTTTAAGATCTGTTTAAAATGAATTAAAATTTTTTTAATTATTATATCAACTAAATTGGATTAAATCATTAATATTACTTTTATCGTAAATATTTTTAAGAAACGGATCGACAGGTTTGTTGTCGGAATCGAGCGGTCCATTCAATGCCGTATATCTCTGTCCGCCATAAACGGCGGCTCCGCCTAAATGTTGTGACAAAAGCTCCAGTTTTTGACCATTTCTTTCGGCATTCAGTTTGAGAGTGCCTTCAAATGAAAGAATTACTTTCAATGAATCGGAAGAATTGGCGGACAAATGATGACCTGTTGTTAGAAATGGTATTAATTATTATTAAAATTACTTTACAAATGATTTAATACACTAACCATTAGTTAATTGAAGAAGAAATTCATGTGATTTGCTGTCCGCTAGACTTGGATTTAATCTTTAAATAATATTTAACTTAATTATTAATTTAATAATTTTTATATATAATAACTATAACTTACAATTGAAGAAAATTCTGTGCCAACGCTTCCAACTGTGGATCAGTTGTGCCTAAAACTGCTGTCATTACTGACAATAAAATAAATATATTGAAAAATGTAGACATTGTTTACTATTAAATCAAATTAAATATTATGAAAAATATTATATATTTTAATGACAATATGTTTAGTTGAGTTTCTTTATATACTTTTTTATAATTATGTAACAATAGTTATAATCAAGAAACTTGTAAAATAAATTTCATTATTATTGTGAATATCTTGATATTAAAATTTTTTATTAAGCACAATATTTCTATACTTTATTTTATTTTGTAATAAGTAATTATTTAAACAAAACTATAACATATGATAAAGTAATAAACGTTATTAAAGTACTATAATTGATAATAATATAATTATAAATTTATCTATTAATTGTTAATATCTTAATATATATTTCAAAAATATTCTGTAATTTAAATTTGTTTTTTTACTTTTACGTACATCTAGGTCACAGCAAACTTTCATAAATTATTAATCTATTATGTAATATAAGATAATTTTTAAATTTATGTTAAAAACATATGATTCATGATTAGAGTGACTAAAATTTTTTGAAAATATAGTTTACAATTTATTTTTTATAAATGTAACATAATATTTAATATTGTAATAATAAATAATAAAAAATCTAATTAATTAAAAACACTGTGAAATAACTAAATTTGGAAAATTATTTACGATATTATTTTAGTGAAAGACATAAGTATTTATTTTAAATTAATTGTTTGAAAAACAACTTCAATAAGATAAAGGTTTAAACATATTTGATAAAAATATTTAATATTATATACAAATTTATTAATTTTAATATTATAAATAAAATTTTTATATTATAAACTTTAAAATAAATTGTAGCAAAATATTTGTATTGTTTTTATAATTTTACAAAACTTATATATTTATATAGTAAAAACAAATAAAAATTGCTGTTTTTGGTAACTCTACTTATATAAGTATTACTAAAACATTAATATTTAACAATGTTTTTTGTTTACCTATCATTGGTATTACGTACTAAAAATTTATCACAATAGAAACACATAAGTTTAGTTATCTATAATATATTGTATAAGTATTTATCATTTTTTAATATACTATATTTTTACTTTAATTTTATCAAATTTTTCAATAAAATATTGCAATATTATATCAAAACTACAGATATTGTAGATAAATAATATGTATATAAAGATTTGAAATATGGATTTAAATTCATTAGAAATAAATCTTATTAAAGATTTTCTAAAACAAATAAAATATTAATATTAAAATATTTATTTATTAAAAACAGTAAAATGAAATCAATAGTTTGTCTATTACTGGTCTCTGCATTAGCACTGACTTCAGGCAATGATTTAGAAGAGACCGCAAAAAGTGTTATTTCAAAGTAATATAAATTCATATAATTTTTTAATAATTATTTATTTATTTTATTAATTATTTTACAGAATTCATGGCTCATTTAGTGGACAAAACCAATTGAATGCATTTCTTGATAAATCCAAATCATTAGAGACACCAAATAATGATGAGATCAACAAAAATGATGGTATTCTTATCGCTGAAGGTATCGGTGGTATTGGAGGCACGTCTGTAACAGTGGCCAGAGGTCGACAAAGTTTTACTGTATCGACTCATTATGGTTTGGGTGCCGGGGTTTTGGCCGGTATTTCGGGTAAACATCACTCAAATGCATTGAATGCAACTGAAGACGAATTGAGAAAACAAGAAATGACTTCAATTCAAAAACCATTTTATGATAAATGTATGCATTATTTGTTAATTAAATAATTTAATTAAGTTATTATAATAATAATAATTTTTTTAACATTAGTTGTTCAGCCAATTGTCGATAAGAAATCCAAATCAGATAAAGCATTTGTTTTGGTTGAAGGGCTGAGAGGACAGGAAAATGTATGGATTAATCAAAACAATGAATTAGACGTCAAATCTATTTCTGGTTTTGCTTTGGGAATCCTAACCACTGTTTCACATAAAAATAATTTGGAAGAAACCGCTGATAATGTTATATCAAAGTATGCTTTTAATTAATATTTAATAATTCAATTCATTTTTAATAATATAATTTATTTCATAGTATTGGCGCTCATTTTGGTGGAAAAAGTGGACAAAACTCATTACAAGTGAGCGATTTTATCCATGATTTGGACAACAAATCACATAAAAAGTCACAAAAGGGTTATTATGGAGAGGGTGTCGGAGCAGGAGGTGTACTCTCAATACAAGTATATTACGACAACAAAAATGTGAATATTAGTAGTTTGTATGGTTTAGAAGCCGGAGCTTTGATTGGCTATAAGGCTGAACATAACAGTGCCGACAATAATGAGGATAAAGAGTCAACAATTAAACAAATGAGTGAAACATTATATGATAAATGTATGAAAAATATTATTAATTTGTTATTTTTATAAATTTTAATAATGAATTATTTTTTTAATAGACGTGAAATCAATAGCTGATAAAAAAGGATCGGAAGGTATACTGTTTGTTGCGGGCGGTGAAGGAAAGGGTGAGTCATTGGTTGCCACTCGTGACGGTTATTTAGCTGCCGGTGCTTTGGCTGCATTCAAATTGGGTTCTCTCACTAAAGTCCAATCGAAATAATTAATATATAAATTTTATTAAATATTTATACTTTAAATTATTTATAATAATTTTTTTATATTAATTTTGAAATAAAAATTATATTATTTTTAACTTATTATATTTATATTATGTACTGTTTTTTGTTTATAATTTTCATACTATTTTCAATAAATTGAATATACTGTATACGTACTATTCTAGTATTACTTTTTGTAATTTTAAATTTTTTGTAATTATTATATAAAAAATAGCTACAGTATTTAAACATTGTAGACTATGTTAATGGTTTAAATTTAGGAGATAAATTTAAATATGGTACTATGCTATTGTTAAATATTACATAAAAATATTAATTATTTTTCATGAAATTATTAGACCTAGACATTTTATTTATTTTATTATTATTCATATACAATATAATACAAGTAGACAACAATTTTTCCATTGCAATACAATTTTTTTTAAATCCAAATTTTTAATGTGTAACAAACACCAATAAATTGTAAATACTTTTAAGTATTATTATTAATAGTTTAATATATTTGTTTACAATTTACACTGGTAATTTTTTTTTGTTATTTGTAGACTAATGATATGCAAATTGGATTCAGTTTTGTCTAATTGTTTACATATTTTTATGTGTGTTTTTATTTTGCATTTTACTTTTGATGACATTATATCACAATTTTTATTTGTTTTTATTCAAATTATTTTTGTTCATATAATTTATTTTTTTTGTAAAGATATTTTTTTTAAATTTATTATATATATATTATATATTTAAATGAATTTATTCTAAAAATTCAATTTATGCAATATATTATTTTTTTCATAATATAATATATTTATATTTATTTATATAATAATTACGTATACAAAATTTTTTTTATCAATATTTTATACAATATAATTAAAGCCTCTTTTAAATTGTTTGTGAATGAAAGAGAGGGTGTATTTGTGCAATAATATACACAAAACAGTGAGAGTGTATGTGTTAATGATGTTTATCCCCGTCTGGTAAGGTTACAGTCGGGTACTCCACTACTCCATCGGCCGCTCTCTAAGCACTTGAGTACAGCGTTGCCCTTCATTTCGTAACCGTCGGCGCATTCAAAACGTACGGTTTCGTTGACACTGTAAAAAAATTTCACAATTGATATAATGCCACCGTGTGTTGTGCCCGGGTATGTGCACGCTGGTACACCTGGGTAGTCAAATAAATAATAATTTAGTTAATAATAAATTAAATTGATTTTTAAATGTCACTTACAATTAGGTGGTGATCCCGACCACCTGCTGTTTTCTTGGCAGATGACTATAGGGTTGCCCTCCAACATGAATCCAGTATCGCAGGCAAACTGTATGATATCGCCGCCGCGAAAACGTTGTATTTTGTCTCCCTGTAGATACCCGTGCACTGGTTTGGCCGGAGTCTCGCAAAATACTTCTAATAATGTTAAATAACAAAATAAAATTTGCGATAATTACCGATAGGACCATACCTTCACAAATAGGAACTGTAGTGGACCACTGTCCAGAGTCGAGACACGTTGTTTCCGATTTGCCACGAAGTCCGTAGCCAATGGGACACGAAAAGGTGGTCACATCGCCGACATAGCGACCGTTTTGCGATATGTTTAACACTTGTATCGCTTGGGTGTCATTATTATCACTGACGCCGGTATTATTAGTAGTACTCATTAGATCCGGACATTCAGTTACTTTTTAAAAAAATAAATTAATAAAAATATATGTCATATACTTGTATATACTGTATGACAATCACATACTAATACAATTAGGCGCTTCGGAAGACCAGTTGCCCGATGGAAGACATTCGGCACTATCCGAACCGTTCAGTCGCATACCGGACCTACACGTAAACATGGCCTTAGCGTTCATCTTAGTGCTCGGGCTTATAATTTTGAGGCCATTGCTCTCAACTAATTGTGCACAGTGTACGGCTAAAAGTGTGTGCGTTACAAATAAAATATCAATTAATTAATTATTATTAAATTATTAATTAATTTTTTGTCATACGTTTGACAATAATTTCAACGGCGTGTCTGTGATAGTTAGGCGTACGGCACGTGTAGAGACCGGAGTCCTCTTTTTGGGCGTGAAATATAGTCAGTCGGAACTCGAGTGTAGAATCGCGACCCGGCTCTTGACTCCAGTCTGTTAGTTAAGAAAATATTTTTTAATAAATACAATATTTATTTTAATTAAAATAAAATTATTAAAATTTTTAAATAGTAAAACCTAACTGTCCATCTAACCTTGATTATATTTTCTAAACGAGTGACTCCACTCCCAGATGGGAGTACCAAACTTGCGTTTCCATAGGCACTCTAAATGTAAAATTGTACCCGGGTAGACAATTAGCTTGCCGTCCACGCTCTGGGCAATTGGTCCTAATTGATGCCGAAACAGAATAGTAGGCGGCTTCTCCACTATAAAAAATAAAATTGCAAATCATTATATACAAGTGCAAAATCTATATAAAAAAATATTAGACATACATGCGTAATCATTTTCCTGGGACAGTCCAAAACATTGTGGTCTCTCGCCATCCCATTCCCCGTACAGGCATTTACGCAATCGACTGCCAATCATATTATATTTGCCGATATCTTTGCACCGAATTATCAATTGAGTTCCGGCCGGCAATTCTTCGTATTCTTCGATAAGTTGGTCGCCGATAAATGCCCACACATTGGGATCGGTATTCATATAAATACAGGTATTGTTTTCTTTGATTTTCAATGCTTCATAATCTTCCTCTGCAAATAAAATTATAATAATATATTAAAACGAATTACTATTATTTAAAAATATTTCAGTCATATACAGACCACATTTGGACGCCCGTCCAATCCAACCGCCGTCCTCGCACGTGATAATCCACGTACTCTTCATGCCATTGGTTGCGGGCAAACATTTGAACTCAATTTGTGTTCCGTGCGGATGGTATGCCTTATCATTTGATTGGCCAGTAGTTGTGATCTCTATTTTATCGCTGATGTTAGTCATTACTGATTCGTTAAATGTATTACTAATTGATTGTTCAGTTATATTGAAAAAGTCTTTCAATGATTTCTTAAACGAATTACTAAAGTCTAGCACTCCATCTATTATTGTGCTGATTGTTGTGGCACTGGTAGTACTTGTGGTGGTAGTAGTGCTGGTGGTTGTGGTGCTGGGAGTGTTCGTATCCATTGAATTGGCGGATGTCTGGTTGACATCATTATCCGCATCATTGATTTGTGCAATACTAATAAGTGGCAAATGATTTCTGGCAAATGACTCGTATTTTAAGACATTTTCCAATCGCTCGGGCGGTTCGCACCACATCAGCTCCGGTGATGACATACTAGTGTTGTAGGTTAGGGTTGGTTCGACACTGGCGTGTGGTTCTGGCACTTGTATTAAAACTGATTCGTCAGCATTTATGGCCTAATATTTTATTGAAATTAATGAACAGTATATCATAAGTAAATAATAACACAATGAAAAAAATACTAAATTAATTGTTAGGATAATATTATATGAATTGTAATTCATGTACTCTATAGTAATATTATTTGTATGCAATTTATATAAAAACATATATTTTTAGATAATTAAAGATAACACTGATGTGTAAATATTTTGTCTGTATTCCCGGTTGTTATTTAATGACAGTCTAATAGATATTAAATGGCAGTAAATTGGTTTAGTTTTTAATGATGTGTCACTTGTTTTCTCATTTGCAAATAAAATGAGTTTTTGAAAACATTTTTTAGTTAAAGTCTCTAATACTACAGTACTGTATATATTTCACTCTATTTGCTTAACTATTATATTAAGTATACATAAAAGCCTTTTTTTAAACAAATTTACATAATTTCATTGTTATAGACCCTATAAAACAATCATTTTATAGTATACTATATAATAATGTCAAACTAAATCTTCAATTTATGAATAGTGTATAATATATCACAATGAATGGCAAACCTTATTATTGATGACATTCATGACTAAGTCGTGTTCAATACAATGTGGCGGCTCCGGCATCAGTCTGCCCTCAAAACAACGAGGTTGTTCTTCAACACCTTTTACATAATTGGGTTTACATTGAAACTCAATGACCGAACCGTGAGATATGGTCAGACCAGCCCGATATCCACCTGAGTAATAGCCATTACGAATGGTGGGCAGCGAACAGGGCGCTGCTATGCACTGTGGCTGCGGACCAGTCCACTCTCCATACCAGCACCTGATGGTCGGTGTGCCCTGTATTTGATGACCAGTCATACAATCAAGTCGTATGGCATCGCCGTGCGATATCTTGTGCGCTATGGTTAACTGTATTTTGCGGTGATAATAGTATCCGTTAGCCACGTATGGTGTCATACATGGAGCTGTTTTTCGTAAATATTTTTAGTCATATATAATACAAGTTTGTTTATACAAATAATTGCAAATCAATACCTATATGACAGTCTGGTTCGCGCGGTTTCCACATCCCTTTGGCACACTTTGCGGTCAGATTACCGATATTGGATACATAGCCATTAGAACAGTAGTTTCTAACACGTGTTCCGTGAGGAAAGGAGTCGTTCCCGACACCGAACTTTAAAACCGTTATCTTCATCCACTGAGTTTCCTTTAATGGTTTGCAGGGAGCTGTCCATCATTTTTTTTGGAAATTAATATATTCATAATACATGAATTCATAAAAAAAAATATATTACTTATACAATACCTTTATATTTTTGGTGTCTACGGGCACGGGATCTCTTACGGTATGGTTTGTCGCCATAATTCAATTCTTTTAATATCCACCGTCTCTTTCGATTGTTGTCCACACTTCTCAGCCAACGAGGTTTTGGATGAGATCCGCGCACACATTCGGGCAACTCTTGCGGCGACCACTGACCGTCTACACAGGTAGCACCTGGAGGTCCGTGTATCAGATGATAGCCGCGATCGCATTCAAAAAGTATTTGTTTATTATTTGTAACTTTCTTGACGTACGGCCGATAGTCATACATTCCCATGTGTCCGACTAATAATACTTTTCCATTGTCAATGAAACCGGGAAATGGACAATAAACTAAACAGTTTTATTTGAAAAAAATGTGTGATAAACATAAATTATTGTAGAGATTAAAAATCTTTAATTGATAATAACAATACCTTCACTGCATTTAGGTGTAGCACCTGTCCATTTGCCAAAATGACATTCCGTAAGGTTCGGTCCCTCCAACGTAAAGCCATCCCTGCATTTATACAGTGCTTTCATACCGTGATCTGTTTTCGGTGCAATAACCAGACCATTCTTGGGCTTATCCGGCATTATTTTGCACCGGGCTATACAATTGTAGATTATATAAAAAAAGGTTAATCATAGCTATAATAAATCATAGTTAAAATCAGTAACAAACCGGGCACACACTGAGGCACGTGCGTCCACGAGCTATTGTTGCACATGGCCTCAGTCGTGTTGTGATGCAACTCGTACTGAGGCATACAATCGGCTTTAATGACCTGTCCGTGACTGACCATCTGATTGACGGCAAACAGGTTTACTCTTCCGTTCTTTACTTCGGGTACAACACATGGAGCTGTGTTGGCGTGTGTTTGTGTGTATGTGTCGTAAAATAAAACAATCATTAATAAAATGATTTATAGCTTGTGTGACATGCATTTGGACGGGGATTATGTCAAACACTAATATATTTGCACTATTAATATTATTGGTGTGAAACCAATATACCGTACAATACTACTACCACTACTACTATTACTATACGGTTTAATGTTATAGAATAATAAATGATATGCTGTACTATTGATGTAAATAATGTATTACATTATAGTTAATCTTATTATGCACTGGTATACTGTATATAGAATTCTGTATATATTTTACTACAGTATAATCCCTTAATGAATTCAAAAATTTAGTTTTTTTCAACAAAAACATTATGTAATAGTATATGTAAACACAAACACACAGTTTAATGTAATTATAAGTTGAAGAACCCGTAAATTGCTTTCACAATTTGTTTCACAAATGTAATTCCTTATACAAAACTAAAACTTAATTTTTCACAAATTAATGATTAATTAGCTGTTTATATAACACAAACAGTACTATACTGTTTATGTATAATGTAGAGATAGTTATATATATATATATATATATATATATATATATATATAATTAATGGTAAGTATTACAAGTAATCATCGTTTAATAAATTAACTGACTTAATGTCATGCATTAAAACTGATTAATTGATGATTACCATTGCAATTAGGCAATGGGTGTGACCAGGTCCCATTGTCCAGGCATGTCGTCGAGTTGCTATCGCCAACAAAAGTCATACCATCGAAACACTTGAAATAAACAGTTGATCCTAAAATGGTACGCCTGACCTCTAGGTACCCATTATGTAGAGTTCCTGGCGATCCACAGTCGATCTCTATATTTTTTTACACATTCAGATATATTATAAAAATTAACATTATATTTTTTTGAAAATAATAAATATACAGTAATAAATATTATACTATAGTAGTAGTAGTAGTAGTATATAATTTAGTAGAATTTATAAATCTATTTTTATAAATGAGTTTTTAAAGTAATTTCAATGTTAAATTAGATAATTTTTTTTCTAAATAAATTTAGATATCTATGCAAATATTTTTAAAGATTGTTTACAAAATAGTCAACTCTTGTTTATTTTAAGTAGTATTTAATTCAAATGCTTAAAATGACATTTTTGTAAAAATACTATAAAATCTAGAAAAAAAACTATACATTAATACTGTAAATTGTCTGAAGAAAGAAGATTTTGAAAATTTTACAATAAGTTTGAGAGAATATATAAATATATATATATATATATATATATATATATATAGTTTGATAATATAATAGATTTTTATACATATATTTAAATGATAATTTACTATAAATTCCTTGTGTTAAAAATATTGTCGATTTAATGGTTATACCAGTTTTGATGACTAAGTCTGGGATTGAAATTCCTGACTGAATGATGTTTTTTTTTATTAAACGAAATGTTTATGAAAAAAAACTATTGCTATTCAACGTTAATGTAGTAAAATATCGTATTAAATATTATGATATCAATATTAATATTGAATTTAAAAATAAAATACAAAATTCATGTGTCCATTACTGTCGACAAATTGTTGTATTAATGTCTAATATGAATGTGTTCTCATAAACAATATATTAGCGCTGATATTATGTTATATCAAAAAATATAACCTTAAAATAAAATATATTGTGAGAAATGATAGCAAAGTATATTACGTAAACATATTATGTCATAGAGTACAACAATTTTTCTTAATTTATGATAAATTTCTATTGATATTTATTATTATTATTATTATCAGTGTATAAGTTGTATATTTAAACTAATAGCTGAGATTCTTGTATTATTAATAAATATAAATAATATTTATATATATTTATCTAAACCTTATTTATTATAATCTTAATATTATGATTTATGATAATATGTAAAATATTAAAAATCTATATTAATCTATAAAATGAATTTCTAAAATATTATCATTTCTTGTATTATTTTAGAAATATTTATATGTTAAATCTATGATATGATAAAATCAATGTAATTTATAAATATTTACAAAATAAATATTTTTATTAATTGTTTTAATAAACAGAAAGTTAAAATTAATTAACAAGTTTTATATTATTATTTTTTGTAAACGTAATCATTAATTATTTAATAGTTTTTAATTAAACTGGATAAACTATTTTTTAGGCATGTAAAATAAATATTAAAAGCTTTAATAAATGACTGTTTTATTATTAATTAATTGCTGACATAACAAAAAATATAAATAATAATATTATATATTATCAATAGTGGTGTAGACAAAAATAAAGTTAATTAATATTTAATTTAGAAAAAAATTTCTTTTTATGTCTCACTTGTTTTGCAAATAAAAAGTTAATCAAATATTTAATCTAAAAAATAAAAATAAAACACGCACCCACTCACTCACTCACTCACTTACTTATACATATTCATATGAAATATATCATTATATTTAATATACTACAGTGTATATACTGTACTATATTTATACAATTAATTAAAAAATTTCTATTTGTTAATTTTAGTTTAGCTTTGAAAATAATATATATAAATTATATATTTTTTTCTATTTTTGTAAATATAATCAACATTTAATATTTAAAAAAAAATAAATAAACAAAAATTCTAATAATAATTAATTGATTTTCATTGTAGACATAAAATTTTAATATTCATATCTAACAATTAAAATTAATAATTTAAAACACAACGGTATAAATCTTATTCATGTTATTTATCTCACTTAACTCTTAATAAAAAAACATTTCATTATTATAATTATCATATTTATTATTAAAACAATATTTTTTATATAAGCTAAATGAGTTGCTTTCATTATAAACAGTACAGTATATTTCCATTTATATGTATAGTTCATTTACAAAATATTTTGTTTATAATATATAGAAAATTTTCCATACAATATGTTTGATAAATTAAAGCATAAAACTTAACGTCAAATTCACGGAATATTATCTTTAATCTTATATAATTCTTTAGGCAATTATCTTTATTGTATAATATTTACATAACAAACATATAGTATATTATAAAATAGAGTATACAATAATATATATATATATTTTTATATATAATACATATATATATATATATTAAAACAAAGCCATGGTATCAAAAAAGCTTAAATCATATTACAATTCTGGATAACAATATTATAATACTTTTTTTTGTAGTACTTTTTTTTATTACATACTTAAGTGAGATAAAATATATTATATAAATATACTTTTTTTAAAATTATAATTATTTTTTAAATATAAAATAAACTTTGCATAATAAATGACTAGCATAAAATTTGCATTATAAATATGTTGCCATCAAAAATCTTAGTGATAATATGCAATGTTATGGTTATGTGATAATAAGGTAAAGAAAAGTTGTGTGTTGTGTGTGTGTTAAGTAAGTAATAAATCATTTTTGTTTGCATACATACCCTGACATTTAGGCTGTTCATCACTCCATTGTTTATTACTGGCACAGGTCCTGTTGATCGGTCCGTTCAATTTAAAGCCATATTTGCACTCATATCGGACCACTGAGTCATAGCTCACCGATGTATATAATGCCCGGCCATTAATTGGGTCCTCTGGTATCGCACATTGTACGGCTGTCCAAATTAAATAGAAATAACCATAATATATATACAGTTCTTAAACTTACTAACTACACAGATAAAACTGCTAATATCTCTAAAACCCTTTGACCAATTTTTATGTTATTTGTGTTAAATTATAGCTTGACTCTCTCGATTTATTAAATATTTAAAACATTTTTTCTGAAATCTGTAATATTTTTAAAAATTTGATTTTAGTTAAAATTTAGAATTACTAAAATTCTACTTAAGCTAAAAAACTTTAATTTAATAAAATGTGTTAACTTAGACATAAGCAACTTATTCATATTGAATACATTTGTTTTTTTATTTGTTACATTGAAATAAATTGCATTTTAATAGTAAAAGCGACATCTTTAAAAAATATTAATATTTAAAAAATTGTAATTTGATAAAAATAAAGTCATCATTTTGCATCCACTAAATGCCTCAACATGCCTATAGTGTAAATTTAATGTTAAAAATTTTTATTATCTATTTTTATATTAATATATTTTTTAATTTTATAATTTCAATATGCATAATTTTAACTAAAATCATGTTTTTAAAAATATTACAGATTTCAGAAAAAATGTTTTAAATGCTTAATAAATCGAGAGAGTCAAGCTATAATATAACACAAATAACATAAAAATTGGTCAAAGGGTTTTAGAGATATTAACAGTTTTCTCTGTGTAGTTAGTTAGTTTAAGAACTGTATATATATATATAATAATTAATAATTAGCAAATATAAAGTATTTTGTGTGTTTGTGTTAGAAAGATATCTAATTATATTATTTTTTGCTATATCGTCAAAAATTATTTACTGTAATTGTATGCATTTAATATTATTTTTCTACAAAAATTTCAATTATTATTTATATTATTGAAATATGAAAAATATTGCATATGTAAGCAAATTATTATTATTATTATGAATATCACACATCATTATTTATTTAATTTACAAAAGTATAGACAAATAGTTTTACATTTTTAATAATAATAATAAACTAAAGTTTTATTCAAAACTTGTTTTGTATTCAATTTTATACAATAAGTACAGTACTATACTATTTAGTACTAATAAAATATCATATATTTTTAAGTATTGTATGCACGGTATATGATCTCTATTTTTATATATATATATATATATAATTAAAATTTTAAATATGCAACCATAAATTATGATGGACAGGCATAAAATTAGTCAACAATCTGACACTTATATTATAAAACATATTTTTAATATCACAAAACTACTTATATATATAATGTATATTAAAACTAAATTATAATAGAAAATGTTATATATATACTGTATATGTTTTATGATTTTTAATATAAATATATGTATATATAATTTTCTAAATATTGCAATATTATTAATATCCACTGAAACATATACATAAACAACATTTTTGTCAAATAATATAATAAATTATTAAAAATTTTTGTTTCTAAAGCTCTTGAATGTTTTGAAACTTTGTTATTTATATTATTAATATTTATTATTAATATAGTATGTAATCATAAAAATTTTGTCACCACATATTTTTTGGGTAAATATTTTATACAATAATTTTATACTATTTTTTAGCAACAAAAAATAAAACCTAAATAAAAAGCAAATAACATATAGATATTTTTAAAAAATAAATATAATATAAATAAACTATTGTAATATTAATTAGATATTTTTAAATATATTTGTGTGTTTCAGTATATAAAATGTATTATTATTTTTTTGTAGATAAAACATACGTCTACATGAGGGAAGTACACCACTCCACTGTCCATTTGATTGACAATATCTATTAGCTCTTCCAACTAATTCGTATCCATCATTGCATCCATAAGTGATACGTGATGTGAATGTATGGGCCAACCCATCCCTATAGCCGTTTTCTATATCGCCGGGATGTCCACAGCTTTTGGCTAATTTTATTTGTTAGTATTTTATTATCAAATCAATTGTCGGTATTAATGCGTTTGAAAATCAGTGAAAAGTGTTTTTCCCATTGATTTGATGACAAATGACGAAAAAATTTGAGAAAAAAAGAGAGAAAAAAAATTGTTAAAACATTGTAAGTAATATAATACAAAAGTAATGATTTAGCAGTTTATATAATAGATAGAAATAAGAAGAACAAAAAAAATAATAATAAATAGTTAAAAGAGATGTTATTTTCAGTGTATGAATGAAGTGCACCGATAGCTACTTACGTATGCACTTCAGGTCGGGTCCGAACCATTGAGCGGTATTGTTATAGAATAGGCACTTGGCTTCAGTGAATCCCTTTGATTCATAGCCTGGAAAACAGCTGTACTGTACAATGGCATCGATCTCGAAGTCCATTTGATCTAACGGTGCTGAATGCCGGGCATGTGGTACAGTCAATGGTATGCCACACATTGCTATATATAAATATATATATAAAATTATACATCAATGATAAAAGCCGGGCATTGGATAAAATAACAATTTGAGAAAATACTATAGTATAAGATAAGACAATAATATAATTTATATCTATATATTGAATAATAAACATTAGATGACTATTCTATATGAATGTATAGTATATTTATATGATTTATATGGGTCTAGTTCATAAGATCTAAACTCATTTGACCCAAACTTATTTGACCCAACTCATTTGATCTAAACTTATTTGACCCAACTCATTTGACCCAAACTCATTTGACCCAAATCACTTGACCCAAACTTATTTGACCCAAATCACTTGACCCAAATCATTTGACACAAATCATTTGACCCAACTCATTTGACCCAAATCACTTGATCTAAATCATTTAACCCAAACTTATTTGACCCAAATATTTATTATTTTATTTTTCAAACTATATAATTATATATAAATAATACAAACTTAATAATTGGAAATATTTCTGGTCTTTTTTTATTTTTTTTAAATAAATATGTAATAACTTAATATTATTAAGTTCTAAATTATTTTATAGATTAAATAGATTATTATATTATTTATATAATTAATTAAATAAAATTATTAAGTTTTATATTATTTATATATAATAATAGTTTGAAAAAATAAAATAATAAATATTTGGGTCAAATAAGTTTGGGTTAAATGATTTAGATCAAGTGATTTGGGTCAAATGAGTTGGGTCAAATGATTTGTGTCAAATGATTTGGGTCAAGTGATTTGGGTCAAATAAGTTTGGGTCAAGTGATTTGGGTCAAATGAGTTTGGGTCAAATAATTTGGGTCATATAAGTTTGGGTCAAATGATTTGGGTAAAATAAGCTTGGGTCAAATGAGTTTAGATCTTATGAGTGCGACCGGATTTATATATATGTAGATACTGTATTGATAAATTAATATTATGGATATATTTAAGTCTCTCATTAATTAATTTTTATTGACTTATTTATTATTTATTTATGTGAGTCTATGTATGCACTTAATGTGTGGCCTATGATTTAGTACTACACAATAGACAAGTAATAATAATAATAATGATAATATTGTAGTGCATCATAATAAGTATGAAAAATATAGCGTAAAACATCAAAAAAAATTGTATTATACTATACACTTATATGATATTAAATCATATCTATTATTATTATTATTATAATCATTATACCCACATATCATGTATTATCATGAATTCAAAATTAATACATCACTTAATAAAATTAATAATAATAAAAAACAAAAGTACACATTATATTAATAGTAATACTTTTAATTAATTAATTAATTGTTTAAACTTTTAAATATCGACAAAATATAGTGGAGAGAAAAAATCTATTAATAGATAATGTGTAATATATCTAATATAATATTACCTTTTTTCTTGCATTCAGGTGACTGATCACTCCAGGAGGCGTCCCCCTGACACACACGTTCCCGGGCACCGGACATATAGAACTCATCGTTGCACTGGTAGGTGACTCGGGCGCCAAAATAGTTACCATTCAATTTAAATATTCCGTTTTCAATCGGCGGTAATTCATCACAATTTAAATCTATTCAAAAAAATAAAAAATAATAATAAAATCAAATTATTAATATATACATAAATATATGATAATTTAAAAATAAAATTGCAATAAACAATTTTTTAAAGTTTTTTTTAAATAATTTTTCTTGTATTATTATTATTTATATTATTATTTTAATACAGTTAATGTGACTACATTTATGAAATATGAGACAATATTAAAACAAATAAAATTTAATAAATTTAAAGAAATTTGTGTTTCATATATTCCATAGGGATTTTCCACACATATTACAACTCATACAGTATTATATTATATTTATACTGTATGTATAAAAATATAAAAACACTTCTCTCTCTCTCTCTCTCTCTCTCTCTCTCTCTCTCTCTCTCTCTCTCTCTCTCTCTTACTCACTCAATTCACTATAATTCACTTACAATTTTATCCCAATAATTCAAAAAAGATATATTAAAAATACTTAAGTACAGTATATAAAAAAACTATAAAAACTGCAATATAAAAGTAGTAAAAAAAACTTATTATAAGTTAACTATAGTATAATAAATGAAATATTATATATAAAGTCAAAGGTTTCTTCATAAAAAAATGTATGTAATCTCTTAAATTGTAAACACCTATTGATAGTATGTAATACGTATAACACATATAAATTTATACAAACTGTTATATTTATTAAATATAAGAAATATATTATAGTTTTTGTATCCCAAATAAGAGTTTTACCAACGAATTGCCATTTTTTGATTTAAAGATAAAGTTTTTTTGTTTTATCATAAGCTAAATTGTAAAAATTTATATTATATTATAAATTATAAAAAACCAAACTTATATTATTACTCAATACATTTAGATAATATTATTTGACCTAAAATTTTTAATTATAATTAAGTAATTTTAAATTCTAAAATTTTTTAATTATTTTGTAAACTATAATAGATATTTTTACTAAAGTTGCATTGATAAAATTTGGATCAATTTATATTTTAACTAGATTATTTTTTTAACTATACGAACAAAAATATTGCTAAAATTATTTAGTAATAATACTGAACAGTTATATTTATTATTATTATTATTTTAGCTATAATACAAATTTTACATAAGTAACTCTTGTGATTTTTTTTACAAAAAAGCTTTTTTAAGTAATATTTTTATAAGATTATTACTTAATAAAAAAAACTATAGCTTATTTTATTAAATAAAATATTATTATACAATAATCTAAAATTATATTAAATTATTATTATATGATACAGTATGTTGAAAGCCAAAACAATATACATTATTGTCGGCAATTTTATTTTGTCCATTAAATAACATTTGGTTTCTATACAATAACTATAAATAAATATATCGTATATATATATAATATCAATTGTATTTTAGTTATTGAAATAATATTGACATTTTATTTTTTCAAAAAATACAAAACGAATAATATATTATTACATATAAATACAATATATAAATATATAAATTTATATTTTTTGTTGTATTTTTTATACAGTAAAATATTTTCTTTCTATAGTTTTCAATACAACTTAAAATATTTTTATATAAAAAATACATTTTACGATGAAAAAAACTATATTACTATTATATGAAAATATTTAAATGTAAAATACTATATTTTGTTTTTTATTTTGTGAGTTGATCTTTACTGTTTAAAATAATAAAAATATTTTACATTTCACTTATGTTTGAGTAAAACATATCAAAATATTTATACTTATATATATACAGTATAGTACTGTATATATATATATAAATTTATATATATATGTTAATATGATATTGACATTTTCACTATATATTAAAAAATCTTTTATCATATATTTTTCAATATTTTTTCATACATTTACTAATGCATTATTATTATAAATAAGCAATACAGTACAATTTTGAATTAAAATAGAAATTAATATAATAATAAAAAAGTTTGTTTATTTTTATTGTTTACTTTATTATAATGTAACAAATTTTCTCGAATATTAAACTCTATAAGTTATTCATATAATAATTTAGTATTTAAAAAACTTTACTGTAATATATTTATATTTTTTATCTTAGTTTTAATTAAAATATCTATATTTTACTTTAAAAATTTAATAATTATTAATGTCTGAATATAATTTTAGTATAATATGTTTAAAAAACAAATAAAATTTATAGATAATTTCTAAATATTTCTTAGTAAAATATAAATGTTAGACAATCTAATTTTAATTTAAATATAATCTAATAAAACTTAAGAAATTATTGTTTATGTTAGCATTATTTGTCAAAACAAATTTCATCATAAAATTTAATTATTTTTATCATATTATAGTATAGTACTGTATGTATAGTAGTCTACATACTTTGTATGGCAAGCATACAGTATTACAATATTAATATTATCATCTCATTATAAATCAGTCAACATTGCTTATCATTGTAGAGTAATTATATTATATTATATTATACATCAAAATTATATTTGTTAACATAATAAAAAAATCATTTTTTAACTATTATTTTTAATATTCAATATTAGTTTATAATTTAATTTATATATATATTTATTCATAAAATACAATAATTTCTATATGTATAGGAAAACAACAACAAAAAAGTTAAAATGAGTTAAAAAAAAGTATTATATATTTTTAAAATATAAACAATAAAAATATAAAGTATTTTACTTTTCTTTAACTTATAATAATCTAATGATATTATAAATCAATAAATTAATTTTTCTTTATAAATCAAATATATTTAATTTATTAATATAGTAAAATTTTATTTATTTATTTTATTATATTATATTCACTATTACTAAAGAATTATTTTTAAAAAATTATTTTTATTTTTATTTATTTTCTTATATTTACAGTATCTACAAATTTTTATTTGTAAATATCATAATAATAATTTATTTTGAAATTAAAATAAATAAATTGTTTTTATATTTAATAAAAAATATTAGATTTATTATAAATAAATTTGCTAAATTGTAAATGTGTTTATATGTTCATTAGTGCAAAAAAATTAAGTTATATCTAAATATAAATTTATAAATATTGTACACTATTTAGTCGCTTATATATATATATTAGTATTACAAGAAAAAATACTTAAAACTAAATAACATATAAAATATAAAATAATAATGAATAGTATATCTATTAATAAATAAAACACAGTTTTATTATATTTTATTCTTAAAAATCTAAAACATTATTTTTGTCATTAGTTAATATAGCACATTGATATAATATTAACATTTAAATTTTATATTAAATTTTACAATATATATAAAAATAATTATTAAGATAATTTAGTTATATAAAATATTCTGCATTTTATACTACAAGTTATAAAAAATTGCTTTTTGTAAGTTCAATAGCCTATTAAATCTAAATATTTAATATTTAATTTAATTTTTCTTAGTAAAATTTATTAAGACAATATAAAAAATAACATATATAAAATCTAGATATAAAATTTATAGCGTTATACAAAATTTATATAAATAAGGATTATTTAGTAAATGATATTTTATTTAACTGATTACCATTAATAACATATATAACTAAGTTATTTCTAATCAAATGTTATATTTAATACAATTATTATATAAATTTCTGATGTTTTTTTCTATACTACTGTTTTGATACTTAAAAGTTAGCAAAAATAAAATAATGATAACATTTTTAGAAAATAAATATAATTTAAACTTTAATAATATTAATTTAACCGATAAAAAAAATCAGTGATCAAATATATAGAGTATACTGTAACTCAATTCTATTACTTATTATATATTATTTCATTGATGATGAAAAAAATGTTATATAAAAAATAATTAAATCAATGTATTGTATATTTTTAAAAAAATATGATATCTTAGTGTACATACCAGGCCTGACACAACTCCAACCGCACTGTCCATCGCAAAGACACCGTTTGCGCGATGAGATACAGTCGGCGTCTGTCTTGCATTTCCTTAAGCACTGTCTACCTCTGGCCGCCGCCTCCTCGCGATTACGGGGACAGAGGGCGTCGTCATCGCCCGAATCAAAATCATCTGTCAAAATATTATCATTAGTTTTCTTTTGTATCAATAATTTATTATTATTATTATATTTAGTAAAAAATAAATTTTTTAAATATTTAGATATTTATTATTGTCAAATAATTTTTATTTAATTGATATACATTATTCATATATGAAATTAATAAATAATTATTTATTTTTTTGAAAAAAAATCTCTACAAAAATTCTATTAATAATATTTTCAGTAATATATCATTAAGTTAATGATAAACGTTATGTCCATAAATAGTGAATCTAATAATACATTAACAAAAAATATTTTTAGAAATATTTTTCCATTTTAATATCTTAAATATTATGTAGAATTTTTATTTGTATTTTAATATAAATTTATTGAATTAAAAGAAATATTTTATTTTATTTATAAAAATGTGTGTAAAAAACGTTCAAATAATTTTACTGAAAACAGTAAATTTATTATATAAAACTGTATAAAACAAATCATAATTAAAGTATTTTATATAACAAATAATAAGTCAAAAAGATTATATTATTTTGTATAATTTGATAAATATTTAAATTAATTATATTTTAAAATAAAAATTTTGAATAGAAATGGAATTTTAAATAAAAAAAAAATGAAATTATTTTTGTTTCAAAAATTCAAAATACTTATAATTACAAAAATAATTATATTATGTTATTTAATTCAATAAAAAGTTTTTGTTAATAAATAATTAATTATTTAAAAAGTTTTTAAGTTTAACAATAATTAAAACTTTCTTATCAATATGTAATCTAAGTGTTAATGTTTGCCAAAATGTTTGATATGCATTACATATTAAACATGTTTGAAGTGTGTATCGTTTGCTTAATTAGTATTAAACAAATTTTTAATGTAATTTTAGATATATTTGCATTTTGTATAAATTAATTTACATTATTCTAAGTACAGTATATATAAATAGATTGTTTAAAAATAATCTTTTAAGAAACATCAAAAAATTATTAATTAAAAGTTAAATCAATTATTAGGGCAATAAGTTATTGATAACATTTTTATTTTTACATAACTAAATTGAAACAAAACAATAAAATTGAATAAAATATAATATAAGCTGATTAATGTAGTTAACAAAAATAGACAAATACGATATAATCAAAATATGGCAATTAATTTTAAATTACTATATTTATTATATAAAATTATATCAGTATAAATTTATTTAAAAATCAAAATTTTAAAAACAAATTGGTTTTGAGAATAACATACTCTCTCTCTCTCTCTCTCTCTCTCTCTCTCTCTCTCTCTCTCTCTCTCTTTCACTGACTCACTCACTTACATGTCGTCTCTCCTGTGATCCTATTTTCCAGGGATTAAATAGTAGACAGAAATATAAATATATTTTAAAATCATTTTTTTCACAACTGATTTCACAAACAATAAACTCATTTTCATTCAGACTTTAAGAATATATTTTTTTGCAAAATATTTTTTGTTTGACAAAAAAAAAGTTTTAATATTATCATAAAAAACTACGTATTTTTTGTGTATATTAAATATTATGCCATTTTTATATCCCAATGCATTTACAAAAAATAAAATAAATACTTTTCTGCATTTGACATAATAATATTAATGAATATTCATAAAATTTTTGTCGTTATTGTTGTTTTTTATTTTGAAATATTTTACAATAACTTGCAAAATGATATATAATATTAAGTTTTTATTAAATAAATATTATATGTTTTCCTTAAAGTCTACATTTCAAATTCCCCACAAGAAATACATTATAAAAGCATTTACAACAACAAAAATTTGCATAACTTATCAGACATTTTACACATTGAGTTAGCATTTAAACAATGGATAAAAAATGTTAGATTTATATATATATTGTATATATCTATACTGTATAATTTTTGTTTGTTTGTTGTAAACATAAGATCAAATATGTATTATTTAAAATAAATTATAATATTAATTAATTTGATTAAACAGATTACAGCTATCAATTTCTGTAAAAAAATAAAATTTATTTTCTTGTGTAAACTTGTGTATTAATGGTTTTAAAATGAGATTTTTTTTTGTTGAAAATGCAAATAAAATTTTTCATTTAAAACGCATTTCAATAAATGGCTAAAAATAGTATACACTATGAAAAAAAATCTTATTTATGACAAATGCCTTTAAGTCATTGATAGAGTAAAGTGAATGATAAGGAAAATTGTATTGAGTTTTGTTGTGCACCCATTGTGTACTTAATATAACATACAATATATTGAATAGATATATATATATATATATAGTAAACTCAACTTTAATATATTGATTGAGTTGAGTTAATGTAAAGCCCTTATGGCTTAACAATTAATTGATTTTATAGTCAACTCTCACACCATTGCCTATAAAACTCTATATATTTATATTTATTTTTTAATGTCTAACTTTATCATACAGTCTATCAATCCATGCTCTCTCTCTCTCTCTCTCTCTCTCTCTCTCTCTCTCCTGGCTATGTATGTCAACAACATATGAAACAACGAAAAAAAATAAAAGTTTGATTTGTTTTCAAAATGTGTTGAAAATAAAGTAACAACAAAAAAATGTATACGAAAAACAATACTCTATTGAATTTGTAGAGATGTTGTATAAAAACTAATGGACTATTCAATGATGAAAGCATTGAAACTGACGTACAAAATACAAGTGACTATATTTTACAGACAGTTATTCACAACAACAACAACAACAACAACAACATCGCTATGAGATAGTCGTCAACTGTTTAAAGAAATACTATAATATAAATGTTTTATATGTTTTATAAACTATACACTGAATTTCATAGCAAACACATATATTGTATCATATATTTGAAACCATATTTTTGTGTTTAGTGTTTGTGTGTGTGAGTGTATTATTGACCAAAATTGACAAAATATTTGGTCAAATATAAAGTATAAGAATTTAATAGATGAATGTTTCTTTTATTTGTGTTAACAAACAAATAAAATAAAGATAACAAACAAAAAATGACAAAATTATGATAAAAAAATGAGTGTATGTTTTGTAAGAGGTTGTAAGTCATCTCAAATTTATTTGATAAAATATTTTTTTAAAAAAAATTGTTTACATATAATTTAGTTTTCTTAAAAACTCACAATGCTATTTTATTGTTGTAAATATATGCAGTGTTGTTATGTTATTTGTTAGACAAAAAATAACCATGATAAAATTGATTTTTTATTTTTCTTTTAATAAATAAAGTTGTTGATTGAAAGTTTTATTAAACAAAATTAAATAAAAATATATATATAAGTATTACATGTAAAACTAAATAATATAAATTTTATATATTCAAAATGTAAATTGTTTAATTGAAATAAAATTTGCATATAACACAACACACAATTTAAATAGTATGCAAAATGTTATTTTAACTTTTTTTTTATTATACGCTAATAAAAGTTTACCATTTAGTTTGATATATAAATTTATGCTTAACGTTAGAATAAAGTATAAATAACATTAATCTCTAATTTTTGTTTAATTTGACGAGATTTTGGGCTTTTATTAACAGTGACTTTAAAGAGTCAATAATAAATATACAGTATTGTACTGTAGTTTTATATATAGTTATATAGATATATATTAGATTGAAACTGAGATAACGATTTGCTTGACTCTAGTCGTGTAATATAATGTATTTAATTGAAATGAGACGTCAATTGGCATTGCATTCACAGAAGTAGTTAAAAATATATATATAATACAACAAATTGAGAGTTAACTGACAAATATTTATATATAATTAACTACTTTATTGTTGTTCACATAAATTTCATTCAAATAGCAATCATTTGGTGTGCATTTGTCAATAGAAAAAAATAATACAAAAACTTAATTAAATTGTCTGAATTTTATTAACTCAACTAAATTTTCAATTTATATGTAATTGTTATTATTATTGTTATTATTTAATATAATGTATAATTAAATTTGTGTATTTACAAGAAAAACATAAATATAGTATATACTATTGGTTTTTTATTAATTAAATTAAATTATAAAAATAGTATTTGTCTATAAAAATTTTAATTAAAATTTATGTGAATTTATGTTTTAATTGAAAAATAAATTGATAAGGGAAAAAAGTAATAAATTTTATATAAACAATAACACATTTTTAGCATATATTTAGTTTTATTTTATTTTTCTATATAAAAAATAGTTGTATACTATATGTAATAACCGCATACACATAGATATCGGTAAATATATGGTCAACAAACAACCACTAATACCACTACAACTAACACTACTACTACTACTACTACATACATGTTTGACTGATATTATGGCTTATCTCACGACTAAGATCTCTTATTTTTTTGCAAACATTTTGAAAGCTTATTTGAAAATCAATTTTTCATATATTTTTTTCAACTTCTCTTCCTTATGTTGTGACTAGTCTTTTGTTTGCCATTCAAACAGATTTCAATTTTGCCAGTCATGTCAACAAATGTCCACTTTTTATGGTAATACTAAATATATATGGTATATATATATAGTATATTGAAAGATATAAGATATGACATGTGTTGTCTGATAGCCATTGAATATATGATGAAACTATACTTTTTTTAAAGTGAGAACTATTTCCATACAACACACACACCACTCACTAAATTTATATATTGTATTATAAATATAATGAAAAATAAGCAAAACTAACAAACAAAATAAATTGTATTGATTTGATTTTTTTTAGAGATAAATTTGTCAATAAATTTTATCAAGAGATACAAAATAGTATATATATATATATATTTAAGCATTAAATATATAAATATATATCAAATCGATAAAAAAAAATATATTGATGCCGGTGTGGTAGGGGATAAAAAAAATCAACAATTTCTATGTCTAATCAAATAAGGGATGTCTTATATAATATTAGATGATAGACCGTAATATTTGATGTCAAAACTATTTTATTGTAATTTATTTTTTACTCACTTTTTCCTTTAAAAAAAAACTAAAACAAAAAAAATTACCAACAGTTGAGTGCTTTGTATAATAGGATTTAAGTTGAAAGTTTTAATACCCTTAAAATCACAAACAATATCATTCAACACACACACACACACACACACACACACACACACACACACAAACACAAACCTATCAAAAAAATAAATTTTTAGTATTTGTTTTCTTACATTTTAAATTGCCAGTTTAATTTTACCCATTATAAAATTTTAATCAAATAAAAAAATTAATTATTTAAATTGTAATATAGTAATTATTGTATAGTCAAATATTATACACAATATTTAATGTGAAATTTTTTTAATAAGTTTTTAAAAATTGCTATATTAATATACTATACAATAATATTAAAGTATATTATGTACAGATATTACTGTATGTATATATATATTTTGATTATTTAAAAAATATTTAAATTATTCTATTGATTAGTTTTTATGTAAATATTATTAAATGCAATATAATGACATAATCTAATATCCGTAAACATTATACTATAGAAACTATACAGTCTTTAAAAATAACTTTTATTATAATTTGAATGAATATTTAAAGTAATAAGAAATATCATAGAAATTATAATACACACACATTTAGACACATAAAGTACTGTACTGAACAAGTAAAGAAAATTTTACTTTAAAATTATATATAAAAAGGATAAAAAAGGCGAATAAATTAATATTTGATGAGATATTGCATAAAAATGGGGGAACCAAACAAAAAATGTGTTCATTTTGTAAATATGGTTAAAGTTATGAGTGAGTGAGTGAGTGAGAGAGAGAGAGAGAGAGAGAGAGAGAGAGAGAGAGAGAGTGAGTGAGTCTCTCTCTCTGTCTATGTGTGTGTGTCTATGTGTGTGTATCAATGTGTGTGTGTGTATTATAGAAAATGGAGGGAAATATTCAAATTTTTTTAATATGCATATATGCTTAATACTATAGTACTATAAGAAAACATGTGCGGAAAAAATATATAATACAAAACCATTATCTCTCGTTTGATATCATAAAAAACCTAAAATATTAATTCAGTATTAAAATTTCTTTAATATAATTTTTTGTGTATGTTATATATAAAAATTGACATTTACATTCAATGTCTCTGAACAATATATATACTTGTATTTACATCTAATAAGTGAACATTAATATTATTAAACAACAAAAATCAGCATTTTTTGAGACTTTCTTAACGAGACATATATTGATATATATTATATTTAAAGAGAGAGAGAGAGAGAGAGAGAGAGAGAGAGAGAGAGAGAGAGAGAGAGATTAAGTATCAAAACATACATATGATATATATAAATATACATTTGATAAATTGTTATAAATATATATTACTTACATATTTGGCACATAGTTTTTGTTTTTATTTTATGCTTAACTAAAATCCCCGGAAAAACAATGACTAATAAATCGTTAAATATATATATATATATATTTGGTTAATATATTATGATATGTTTTGCTGTATTTATATTGATATTTGCTTTGTCCGACTAAAACATACACTTTATTTTAGTCATACTTTGGTTTCACAATTTTTCAGTCACATAAATGTACGTATGTTTTGCCAGGAAAATGTATAGCAATGCTATAAATTAAATCATTTTTTATATATATATATTTTTTGTTTGTGTTATTGTTGCTATAAATAATGTGTATAAGTATATAATATTATATATATAGTATGTATGTATGTCTTTTTGTCTCTCGTGTTTGAAAATGAAATATTACTGGCAATAGATTAAGAAAAATTGCACACAAAAAAATATTATATATATATAATATATATAAGCCATTCACACACTCACAACAAACAACAATAATAATAAAAAAATAAACTTTTTTTGTTTTACAATCAAAATTGTACAGTACATTATTTTCAGTGTAACAAACAAAACAAAAATTTATGTTTTTAGATATAAACATATTTCAAAGGATACGAAAAAATAATAAAAATAATTTTTAATAATTAAAATATTATGGTTAAAATTATTCAGAGATTCTACTGCAGTATTATGTTAATTTTGTTTATGATTTTTAACATAATTTATATAAAATTGTTGCCTCTAATATAGCAATTTGTCATAAAATTATATACAATAGTAGAAATAGAAATTTTTATTTTTCAATTTTTAAAAGTGCTTTATATCAAGTATATAATATGTCTGTATAATAATTCATAATATTAATAACAATGCATTTTTATAATAAACAAATATCATTAATTTAAAATGCTATATAACTATACTGTACATCACAATAAGCTGTATTATACATATAAAAACATATGTTTTGTGTGCAATACTTGTAATTATTATATTACTGTATGTAAAACACACAGTCATATAAAATATTAGATAAAATTTAACTTTTCAATTGTGCACAGCTTTTCATAGCATTTGAATAATTTTAATTTCTATAAGTTATAGTATTATAGTATAATAATTGTAGACTTTATATTTAGAAAAATGTATATTTTATTTTTCATATTATTCAACTAAAGATAATATCATTACAACAAACATAAAAAACATTCAATAATGCAATACATTTAAATTAAATATAAATTTCAATAATTTAACTCTAAAACTGTTTTATTAAAATATACAATATTTTTTTATTATTATTTTAGTAATAAGAAGCTTAGTTTTTTTTATTAAATAATTTATATTATAATTATAATACAACTTTATAGATATAACATAAATATTATTATTGCATCATTTAATAAACAATTATAATTATGTATATAATTGACATATGATTATTGAATAAAATATATGTGATATATAGTATTTAATAATTTTTTTAAATGCGTTTAATAAAATGTAAATATTTTGAAATTCATATTTTAAAATTAATGTACCATTATTTGATTATTAAAAAAATAATCATAAAATAACAATTAGAAAATTTTTAATCAATAAACAATTTTTACAAATCAACAAAATATTTTCTTATAATTATAAAAAAAAGTAAATTACGGTATAAATTATATTAAATAACAAAATATTTTATATACAGAATTCAATGCAAAGAATTCTGAATCAGAATTATAAGAATTTACAAGAATTTCTTCTTCAGAAAGTTTGGCAAAAGTAATGTTAGAATGTCTTTCATTTGCACTGAATTTCAATTTTCTATTCGTTTATACAATTCATCCATTCATTCATTTAAAGAAAGAAAGAAAGAAAGAAAGAGAGAGAGAGAGAGAGAGAGAGAGAGAGAGAGAGAGAGAGAGAGAGAGAGAGTAAGAGAGAAAAAGATAGAAAGAAAAAGAAAGAAAGAAATGTTTATATTGTCTATTCTGGACTCATATAAGAAGATAATCATTTCCTCTAAAGTCTCTCTCTCTCTCTCTCTCTCTCTCTCTCTCTCTCTCTCTCTCTCTCTCTCTCTCTCTCTCTCTCTCTCTCTCTCTCTGACTCTTAACACTCAATCACAAAGTATTTCACTTACTCTGTCTCTTCATAACTAACTTTTCTGTAAATAATTGTATCGATAATAATGATGTAATGTAATGTAAAGTAAGAGAAATTTAGTCAATGTTTATTAAGCACTGGTATGTTATGCAATAGTATATAATGTTACAGGAAATCAAATGAATGACTGGAAAGAGGCTTTTGAGGGGTTCCGACACAACTAGGAGTTGTCATTAACCCAAACATTCAAATGCAAGTTAAATATATATTTTATATAATCTAATGTTATATAAATACATTAAGTTTTATTTATAAATATAAAGGTATTTACATTAAGAAGTATGTATGTCTAAAACCACAAATTATTTTATAGAAATTGCTTACTAAAAGCTAAATTTCAATATTTATTATACAATTTTTTTAGTGTAAAGTTTTTTTTAAAGTCATTGAACTTAATTTTTAAAAATAAAATTCAAATTAGAATAATACAAAAATTTATTTAATTAGTTAAACATTTAACCAAAAATAAATAACAGCTATTGGTTGCTATTAAACAAACCATTATAATAATATTTATTTTAAATTAATTAATTAATAATAATATATTAAATATTAAATCTACTTAAAAATTCATACACATATTCATATGCATTATGTAGAAAATATAATAATTGCAATACATACCCGGCTCAGTGCTGGTGTCGGCTCCTACAACATACCGATGATGTTGTATAAATTGTGAGCCAATTAGTGCCAACAAAACAATTGGCAATAAAGGGTTTGCCGAGTCTTTCATCAATAATAATGATTGCATGACTTTCATTGGCGGGTCAGTGGCTCTGCCAATAATCCAAGTAATATAATGCCATTGAATGCCCACAAGAATTTATGGACAAATAGTGATAATATAACAACAACTGATGTTTAAGGAACTGGAGGTTCACTTTATATATATATAAGATATAAACTTATGATTTTATTATTGAAGAAAATTGCAATGTATGTGAGTGTGTGTGAGTGTGTGTATGTTTCACACAAACTCTTACCGCACTTACAGACAACACACACACTTACCAGTGCCCAGTCAATGAAGTTGCCGCACGTTTTCAATATATATATATATATATAATATATATCTGTGTGTTGAATGAGTTCACTGAGATATTGTATGTCTTTGTTGGTAATACCAGAGAGTCTGGTGGTGTAAGTCTATGTGTGTGTGTGTGCACACAGTTTGCCACTCACTAAATGCAATGAGAAAGTGAGAGGTTTGGGTTCACTATTATATTGCATGTAATGATGACTAAACTCTCTACACTCATATTTAGCTCTCTCTCTCTCTCTCTCTCTCTCTCTCTCTCTCTCTCTCTCTCTCTCTCTCTCTCTCTCTCTCTCTTATAGCATCCCTTTGCAGTCACATACACATACCAGCACTCGTTGCACATGCCATCAAATGGTAAGAGCAATCACTGGAGTGAATGAGTCAACAGAGAGTTGAGTGAGTAAGTGAGTGAAAGATAGAGAGAAAGAAAGATAGAGAGAGAGAAAGAGAGAGAGAGAGAGAGAGAGAGAGAGAGAGAGAGAGAGAGATGAGGAGAAATAAAATCCCGTTTCTCTAATAGTATGCAACGAGAGTTGTAGTAATAGAAAAATATATATAATTTTATCTAACATTTGCCAAACACCAGTATACATATGTACAGTATATTCAATAGATATTATAAATAGTATACATATTTTATATATTATATTATATATATTTTATACAAAAAAATAAAACTATCACTAAAAATATACAAAAACTTGCATTTTTGTGCTGAATTGCATTAAATCATTAATATATATATATATATATATATATACTGTATATAATTCTCATCGCATGAAAAATGAATTTTGTTTTTAATTATAACTCACTTATTAATAGGACTTTTAATATAAATCTATATATAAACAGTGTATGTATTGATGCACTTATAAATTATAATGCAAGTTATATTCATCATTCAACACATCCACACACAAACAGGTTTTTGTCAAGTAATAAAATAGTGCAAAAAATATTAGATAAAAGATAAAATATGACTGAATTGAAACGTTATATTACAACAAAATGAGTCTCTAATTTATATTTATTATACAAACGTATCATTTATTTTACTTTCATTTATATTATATATAATATTAAAACCTTTCACTTCATTACTCAAAACTCACACTTTGAGAGTCACTCATCAGACATATAGTACAACATATAAAGCTATTAACAACAAAAAAATTGATTGAAATTAATTTATTTCTTTATTTTTCATATAAATTTCTTTGAACTAATAGTTTAGCTGATATTATTAATTATATCTTTAATAACCACACATTTACTAAATATTAGCAAATAAATCAATAATCGTAATACTAATATGTTATTTTTATATTATATAATAGTGTTTTTTATATAATTTTAATATAAAAAATTATTTTATATAAAAGAAAATTGTGATGTTATTTTTATACATAATAACTAGATTATTGTGAATAATATATAATAATAATAATAATAATTTTAATATATTATTTTGCAAAATTGTCATTTTGGTATTTTTTGACAAATTTAATAAATTAGAAAAATATTTTTATATATTTATACAGACATAATAATAATACTAACAATGATAACAATTGCAATAAAAGATTAAATTTATATTTTGAATAATATTATTTATTTTAGTAACTATATTATTTATAATAGAAATTTGTAAATTGAAGTTTTAAAATTGAATTTTACTTTTAAATATCTAGAGTTCAATGACTTTAAATAATAGAAACTATAATTAGATTGTAGATACACTTTACTTTTAATTTTTTTATTATTATTAATTTTGTTATTTATCATGAATAAAATTTTTGAAAAATACAGTACATTATAGATATTATAGATATTGCATCATTAAAATTGTGTCTCAATTCAGACAAATAATTTGGTATGTATTTTTCAATAATTTTTTTTATAGATATTATTGAATCTATAAGACAATATTATACATATATTTTATCGCACCGACAACTCATTATTTTTTTGTGGATATTTTGAGAGAGAGAGAGAGAGAGAGAGAGAGAGAGAGAGAGATAGAAAGAAAATGATTGAGATATTGAAGTAAATTGATTAATATAAGCACTTGTTTATGGTTTATAGTTTAGGATTGAAGTGACAATATTGTTAAGATAGATAACAATAGGCAACCAAATGAATGGGTCGATGAATAGATACATAATATAAATTACTGTATATTAATAATATATAATTTATATATTTGTATATACTGTATGTACTGTATATACATATAGGGAATATAACAGTATCAATGTAAGATTACTATACAGTATTTAACTAATGTATTTTATTTCACTTTATATATATATATATATATATATAAGGGAACTACATAAAGTAATGGCCGAAATAATAACAATTTTTAAAGTAAATTTATTCAAAAACTACAAATGATAAAAAATCATAAAATTTACATCTGTTTCATTGATAATCGATTAAAATTTAGGTAAATCAACATGGTCATTTTTTTTAAATTTCATATTTATTTTTTGCACTAAAGTAAAAATGACATTTTTTACATCATGTTATAGTTTTAATTGTAAATTGTTTAAACAATTATTATAAAATACAATTAAAAATTAATCTTATAGTCCACTAATAGGACTATATTGAGAACAGACAATAACTTTATATTCAGACTCTTTCATTGTTTTTTAAATGCTTTTAATCACATACTTTTAAATAAAATAAGCATCATAGATTAATTCAATTATTTTTTACTGAAAATTTAAATATTAAAAATAAATTATTTATTATATATTAGTATATATGTCAATTGGTATAATAATTATAAAATTGATAGATATTTTCAGACAAATAATAAAATATTTTGAAATTATCACACAACGAAAATTTATTAGTTTTTACATAAAATTACCTACTTAAATATAAATTTGTATTTTATAATTCTACTTATCATTAGTAGATATCTATAAACATACTATTCATGAAATAAAATTAAATATATCTTACTTAAAGAAAGAGTTAGACATAATTTTATTCAATATAGTACATGATTTACCAAATTACAATAAGTCTTTATATTGATTTATATATTTTTTTTATTAAAAAGAAACAAGCTATTTGTAACAATGTGGCATATGAAGACAAGTATATTGTCAGACGGATGACATGATAACTTTAGATTTTTAACAATTATATGTATCAATATAATGCTGAACAATTTAGCTTTAGTTCTGACATTTATTTTATTATAAAATTTTAATTATTAATAGTAAAATTTTGAAAACTTCTCTGAACAATCATCTAGGCTAATATTATATAATGAAATATTATAACATTGGAATTTATTATTATAACATTTAAATAATCACTATAATTAAAAATTTTGTTTAGTCAAATTTGAATGTCTTTTTCTAAAATGATAATAATTGTTAAAATGTAGAAAAACTTAATCCAAATAATTTTAAAATTTAAATACAAATAATGAACCTTTTTTATTAAAAAAGAATCACATTTTTATCTTTATTATTTGCTTCACAATAATAACGTAAAATTTGTTGATCTAAAACGGTCATTACTTGTTGTATAATACTTATATATATACGTGTATAATGTATAGCAAATAACTTTATAATATAATGTTGACAAAAAATAATCATGTGATCTAGATTTAGATTTATATATAAATCTTTTCTTATTAGATATCAAATAGTAGGAAACCCAATAAAATAATAGTTATAATATATATTTATATAAATTATATATATATATATATATATATATATACTGTATATCTGGTGCTGACATAAGTCATCATTGAAAGAGAGCGGTGTGAGTGAGTAGTATTAGTATATATTTGAGTAAAAAAAATAGAAAAAGAGAGATAGTATTCAAATAATATAGTATCAAAAAATCGTTTTACATTTTCATCAGTTTTCAATTCAATGAACAAATTTCACTATTTATACTCTCTCTCTCTCTCTCTCTCTCTCTCTCTCTCTCTCTCTCTCTCTCTCTCTCTCTCTCTCTCTCTCTCTCTCTCTCTCTCTCTCTCTCTCTCTCTCTCTCTCTCTCTCTCTCTCTCTCTCTCTCTCTCTCTCTCTCTCTCTCTCTCTCTCTCTCTCTCTCTCTCTCTCTCTCTCTCTCTCTCTCTCTCTCTCTCTCTCTCTCTCTCTATTTATCTCATGGTTTGATTTGTAAAATAAAATGTGAAAACAAATATCTGTTGGAAAAAAGCAAGAAAGACATGTCTTTGCTAATGTTGTACACAATATATTTGGTTTGAATGACACACATGTCATACGCTATTGGAATTACTTATCAGTTTTCTATGTAAATGAATGAGACGTCTAAATATTAAATATAAAACTTTTAAATCATTTGACAGTATATCATATTCTTTACTATTTCTTATGTTGCATATTATATATATATATATATTATTAAAAATACATTATTACAATAAATTTATTTTATTGTTCAAATGAAAATCACATTTAAGGGAATAATAATTATTAATAGTATATTTTAGTTAAAATACAGAAAATAAAATTAATAACTATGAAATTCAGTTCATTTATTATCAAACATAATGAGTAACAAAAAATAATATTTTTAAAAAACAGTTGTCAATGTCATTAATGTTTAAACAATGTATTTATGTGTGTTTGTGTGTGTGTTTGTGTGTATGTATGTTTATGTGTATGTATGTTTATGTGTATGTATGTTTATGTGTATGTATGTTTATGTGTATGTATGTTTATGGAACTATATGTTTAACTACAACAAAAATAAATTATTTGTCTCTAACTTTGTTTGTTTTTGTTTGTGTTTATATATATATTTCTATTAACAAATGGTTAAAAAATAGATGTTATTGAAAATGAAAAAAAGACTC